CTCGCACTCAGTAGGTACCTGCGCTCACTGGGGGTGTGTAAAGACTCCGGAGGGGCTCCTTCAACCCAAGCGCTAATAATCTGCACGGACAACTCACGTGCTGCACGGACAACTCACGTGCTATAATGATAAAGTATGCTGCAGGCGGGCAACCCCGATCCACACTCATCCTCACAAATCAGACCCTCGGCCTCACTCAGTCATAAACCTCTCAAGCCCCTTGGGCATTTCAGTAAAATAGGGCATTCGGCCCAAAACATTTATATGCATAAAAATAGAGTCATAAAAACTGAGTTATGCGGTAAACAAGTATAAACATGACTGAGTATATATTTTCAATCGAAAACAATGAGAGGATAGTAAGAAAAAGCCCCTAAGGGTCCAAACAGCACTAGCGCGAGGCCCAAACATGGCATTCAGCCCAATTTACAGAAATTCTTTCTAAAACATATAAGTATCATATAATTTCCATAAAATATGCAACTTTACAGTTGCTACGGGACGAACTAAGTCACAATCCTTAACAGTGCACGCCCACACGCCCGTCACCTAGCATGTGCGTCACTTCAAAATAGTAGAATGATACAAAATCCGGGGTTTCATACCCTCAGGACTAGATTTACAATCGTTACGTACCTCAAACCGCGAAATTCTTATTCTACAATGTCCTTTCCTCGTGAATTGGTCTCCAAACGCCTCGAATCTGGTCATAAATAATTCGTTTCAGTCAATAAAATTCATTGAAATTAATTCCACAAGATAATAATGATTTTCCATAAAAATCCGAAAATTAGGTCAAAAATCGCCCGTGGGGCCCACATCTCGGAACTCGACAAAAGTTACAAAAATTCGGAAACCCATTCAACCACGAGTCTAACCATACCAATTTTACAAAAATTCGACCCAACTCGACCCTCAAATCTTTAATTTAAACCAAGAGGGTTTTTAAATTTTTTCCAACTCAATTCACCAATTAACTGATAAAAACAACCATGGATTCGGGTAATTTAACCAATATTGAGTTAAGAACACTTACTCCGCTGTTTTCTCTGAAAATCACCCAAAATCGCCTTACTTCCGTGCTCCAAATCGCCGAAATCCCATTTTCAGAACTTAAACTCACTGCCCAGACTTTTCTTCTTCGCGAACGCGGTCAGTGCCTCGCGTTCGCGAAGCACAAAATAGCTCCCGTTCAAATTCCTCCTTCGCGAACGCGACATCACCCTCGCGTTCGCGAAGCACAAAATGCCTCTGCCTCAATGCCTTCTACGCGAACGCGTTCGACCCATCGCGAACGTGATGCTTCTTTCCCCCTCACTACACGAACGCGAAACCCCCTACGCGAACGCGTAGACCAATTGCCTGGGTCTTCGGCTGCTTCCTCTCTTCTTCGCGAACGCGTAACACCTCTCGCGTTCGCGATGCACACCCAGTCCAGCCTTCGCGAATGCGAGCTTCTCTTTGCGAATGCGAAGATCAAATATTGCCAGCCTCTCAGTTCCTCTTCGCGAACGCAGGCTCCAATCGCGAACACGATGAAGGAAACCATATGGTGCATCAGAAAAATTCCAGCAGAGTTCCAAGTCCAAAAATCCAACCCGTTAACCATCCGAAACTCACCCGAGCCCCTCGGGACCTCAACAAAATATACCAACAAGTCCTAAAATATCATACGGACTTAGTCGAACCCTCAAATCACCTCAAACAACGCTAAAACCACGAATTACACTCCAATTAAAGCCTAATGAACTTTGAAATTTCTAATTTCTACAAACAACTCCGGAACCTATCAAATCACGTCCGATTGACCTCAAATTTTGTAAACAAGTCATAAATGACATAGCAGAGGTATTCCAATTTTCAGAATTGGATTCTGACCCCGATATCAAAAAGTCAACCCCCCGGTCAAACTTCTCAAAAATTAAACTTTCGGCATTTCAAGCCTAATTCCTCTACGGACTTCCAAATAATATTTCGGATACGCTCCTAAGCCCGAAATCACCATACGAAGCTATTGAAATCATCAAAATTCAAATCTGAGGTCGTTTACATATAGGTCCATATCCGGTACACTTTTTAAACTTAAAATTTTCAATTATGTGACTAAGTGTCTCATTTTACTCCGAGTTCCTTCCGGACCCGAACCAACTAACCCGATATAACATAATATAGTTGAATAACACAAAAAAAGTAGAAATGGGAAAAATAGGGCTATAACTCTCGAAACGACCGGCCGGGTCGTTACAGAATCATATGATGACATGCGAGTCAAGTATTTTCACCTACCTCACTCTACCGGCACACCACTTGAGTTAAATTTGGGACCAAATTTTATAAGGCAGAGATGATGTAATATCCCAATATTTTAAATGAGGACATATTGGACATTTAGCAAATAATTTAAGTCCAAAAAAAAAAGAGAAAAGAACAAACTAATAAGAATAAAAAAAGAATGTAAACAAAAGGGCTGAAGCCCGTTAGAAAACAATCTGCCCAAAAGATTGAAAAGGGTTTAGGAGAAGGAAACTAAGAAAGGTTTCCGGAGAAAACAAAACAAAAGCAGAGAAAAAAAAACGTTTATGGGATTTTTAGTGCCGAATACTGTGTTTCACCTTATCATCGGCATAGATTCTTGAGCTTCAACAATATAATCCAGGTAATTTCATGTAATTCTTATTCTTTTAAGACAATTAATTTATATTATGATTCTTTATGGGACTAAGTAGAGATGATGTTGGGATTGGATTAAGAGTTTAAAAGATAAAGTTAAAGAAATTGGGAGAAATCCATGAGACCTTTCCAAGAATTAACTGAGTATATTATATGAATAGATTGTAATTGGTGGATTTTCTGGATTTGGTTTAAACTACAAGTAGCACGAGTAAGTATAAATTGACAAATTAAGAGAAAAATATGAAACCTCGAGGGTTGGGTATTTTATATTAGCTATGAATTAGCCTAAACAAGGAAATTAACACGAGATCGATGTTGATGTGATTATAGATTAATTGAAGAAAGTTGTATAGTTCGCTTGAGGTGACGAGTTTGGTAGTTCGACACGAGTACTGTGAGTAGTAATCTTACCGCAACTTATGTTTTCATAACCTGCATGGTTTATACATGATTTTAAAAATAATATTTGTTACCGAATGTTTGAAATTTCATGTGGGACAAGTCCTTTACTTGATATGGTACTGAACAGTTTACTTGAGATATTTACAGTTATTTAAAATATTCTCACTGTTACTAGACATATTTTATTGTTATTTGAGATATGATTACTATTACCGAAATGGGATTACATGATATGATAAGAATTGAAATGCCCTGTACTATTTTAAAAATGCTTTCTTATGAATATTTACTACTTACAAAGAAAAGTATAAATGAGAGGAGACTTTGCGTAGCTAACGACGGGTTCGTTAGACCTGTTGCAACTTGTATTTACCAATTACCAAGTACAGTTATAGCCCTCGCTAGTGGGAAGGTAGAACTAGCATACAGTTACAGTTTTTCTCGAGTAGGGACCTACAATTATATTTGATTCATTTTACGAAGGGGTCCACACAATGATACAGATTACATAACCCCTTCTTGGAAACCTCCCAAACATAAAGATTAATATGACACAGTGTTTAACGAGTTCATTACCCAATTGTTAAACTGATTTCTATTACACGAAAAACATGATGGGACTGATTATTGTTTATTGTTTCTGAAAGGGCATTCTTATGATATTTTCTATTTAATATACAAGCACGTTTTCTGACTTGTCCCAATTAAAATAATTGTAGTTAAGTGTTATTGCTCACTGAGCTAGCGACTCACTCCCCGCTATTTTTTTCAAAGATAGCAGTTGGCGCAACAAGGATTTCGTTAATTATAGTACACGAGTCGATAGTTCCTGGTGAGCCTCACACTTGTTCGCGTGGGCGAAGAGTTTATTTATTATTATCGTCTTTTCTTTTGAACTCTTAGAGTCGCTCCATAGTCATTTTTATTAGTGTCATGAGTATTCATTCATTATATTGGACTAGTTACTAGTATTATACTTTCTTTCTTATTTCTAAGATGGTTTAAGTATTATTATGTTAGTAAAGTTGGTAATATTGTTAAAAACTCGTTTTTCTTGGTTCATGAAGATTGTGGTTGGTTTAGGTGAATATTGGTTGATTGTATATTGTTTATGAGACAGGAAAATTTTGGATAGTCCTAAAAAGGGGAGACTCTATCCGATTTTCTGTAAAATACCGATGAGGCTTACTTAGGAGCACTTGCTCCTAAGCACCGGTCATGATCCTAAATTGGGTCATGATAATATATTATGAGAAAATCAAACTTTCACCCCAAAGAATTACAAATAGTTAGATCATAGGTGATATATGTTCTCAGTCTTCTTCGCCTTATTTGTTTTTTTAAAGATTAAGACGTCTGAATCTGAATACATATCTGAATGTCAAGATGTGTATTAAGATTAAGTCGTTTGAATTTGAATACACATTTGAATATTAAGATGTGTTTTTAGATCTGAATACTAAATGATTAAGACTGTTTGTTTTTTAAACATCTGAAAATATAGAATATATCTTCATTTAAAAATTAGTAAACATAAATTTAAATAAAATACTAATCAATTGAATATTCTATCAATATATATATATATTATCTTTTATAATTTAAAGGATGAAGTGGTCAACATGAGACTTCTTTTCAAAAAATATTTTCTGTCGGTCTCCCCTGCTACATAGCTTCAATCCATTTTTGATCTTGAGATGCTTCCTTAAAATTCTTGGGCTCTGTGGGTGCTGAGAACAAACTTAGATACTCTTGATAACCAGTGGACAAGTGATCATACTCCACATAGTTAGTGATGGAGTATAAGCAATTAAGAGCTTTGTTTTAGAAGTCACATAGTCTTTAAGCCATATTGATGGCTTGGTAAGTCTCTTGCCTCTACCATTTTCTGCAACTGCTTCAGTAGTATTAGGCTCGTCTGCTATTGATTCAGCCTCTTGTAATGAAGTATCAGGTGCTTCCACTACTGGTGCAGATCCTTCCACTGGATTATCAGTATCTGCAGGGTCCTCAGTATGTTGAGAAGCTGATGTATTGTATGTTGTAGTTGTCTCATGATTATCAATGGTTGGAGGTTCAGGTTCTATTTGCTCTTCTGTTGTTGTGGCACTATTATTGTCATGCTGCATCACATGATGGTGATCTGGTGGTGGTGTTGCATCATTGACTGGCATGAACAACACTTCCTCCTCATGTTCAACTGGCATGGCTCTGAAAGGAAGAATCCTTTCTCTGAAACTTACATCCCTGCTAACAAAGAAAGTTTTGAAATCCAGATCAAACAGCCTATATCCCTTTTGAACTTCAGAATACCCCATCAATACTGTCCTTCTTGCCCTTGGGGCCAGTTTGTCACCCCTGGGCAAGCTGCTTGCATAGCACAGACAACCAAATACCCTTAGGTGATCTAGCCTAGGTTCCTTACCATATAGCAACTCATAGGGTGTTTTTCCATCTAGTACAGCAGTAGGTAATTTGTTGATCAAATATACTGCAGTCTTCACACATTCTCCCCAGAACTTAACTGGAACTGAACTATGTAGTTTAAAAGCCCTTGCCACCTCCAAGATATGTCTATATTTTCTTTCAACTATTTTATTTTGTTGAGGTGTATAAACACAACTACTTTGATGAACTATGCCAAAGGAAGATAACATTTCATTACATTATGAACTAAAAAATTATGTACCATTGTTTGATCTCAGTACTTTTACAGAAATATCAAACTGATTTTTTACCATTACTAAGAAGTCTTTAAGCACAATTGAAACCTCAGATTTGGATTGAAGTAGCCATACCCAAGTATATCTACTGTAATCATCTACTACAGTTATAAAATATTATTTTCTGTCAAATGTAGCCTTTCTATAGGGTCCCCAAACATCAACATGAATCAA